TTTGCACAACCGAGGCAAGATGTCACAGTAGGTGGTGAGAAATGCATGTCCTCTAAGACGTGGGTGATAGATGATTGGATGGGTGGATGAGTGCATGTGTGCGTGTGTGTTCATGCACGCACACACACATCTGCATGGTGGGTGGGCAGAGTGAGGGAACAGAAAGCAAAAGGAGTGACCTGCAGATAATGATGTAGTCATTCCTGAGATGGGGAATGAAGGCAGGCCTGGGGAAGGATAGATTCTAAAGGAGTAAGTTTGGGGGTCATTATGTTTCTTTGAGATAATGTGTGACACATCCAAGTGCTTATGTCACAGAAGTGGCTGGATATAGACACCAGAAGTCACTGAAGTTAAGACTGATTTTTATAAGTGTCTCATATTTTACTGCCTACTGTCTTAGTTATTTATTGCTGTATAACAAATTGCCTCTAAACATTTCACCTTAAAATAACATACATTTATTATCTCAGAGTTTCTGAGAGTCAGAAATCTGAGGCAGTGTAGCTGAGTGTTTCTGGCTCAGGGTGTCTCATGAAGTTGCAGTCAAGATGTGGCTGGGGCTGCACTCATCTGAAGACTTGACTGGGGCTTGCGGATCTGCCTGTGAGACAGCCCAGCCCACTCACGTGGCTGTGGGCAGGAGGCCTCAGTCCTCTCCTCATGAAGCTTCTCCACAGGGGCTGCTTGAGCATCTGTGTGACATGGTGGCTGACTCCCCCAGAGTGAGTGATCCAAGGGAGAGAGGGAGCAGTATCTTTTAGGACCTAGTCTGGGAAGTCACACACCATCACTTTCATCACACTGTATCCATCACAAGTGGGTCACTAAGTCCAGCCCACCTCGAGGGGAGAGGAATGAAGCTCCACCTTTTTAAAAGGAAGATTGTGAAAGAATTTGTGGGTATGGTTTAACCCATCATATCCACCAAAGCAAAATACTTTATGTTTTATTGTCAGCTAAAGCTAGGATCAGCAAACTATACTGCAAAGGCCTGGTACCTGTTTTGTATGGCACGTGAGCACTGCTGGCACAGCTGGGGACCAATCTGGGGTATCCCCTTCTGTTTCTACTCTCAGCGCCCTGCTACCTGGCCAGCTGTATCTTGCTGTAGGCCAGGGCCCTCGCTGGTTGCCGTCTACACATTGGGGTCTCCATTGTTGGCAGTTGCCAGACACCAAGCAGTGGAATCTCAGCTCAGGAGGTGGTGACTTAGCAGGTCACCTTGCCTCCTGCCAGCCAACTTGGGACACTTGGAGGAGAGAAGGACACACAGGCATCTATCTGGGTGTCACTGGGGCAGAGGCTGAAACTGACTGCAGCAGGCTTCCCCTGCCATCCCGAATCCCACCCCTCTGCTCACCAGGCCTGCCGGCTTCTTCCCTCTTGGACTAGTCTCTCTTGTCCTGAGAATGTGTCCAGCAGGCGGCAACTGGGCATGAAACATGCTCACCACTCCAATGGCCCACTCAAGGCAAGTGGGGAGGGGCAGGCCAGGAGTTTTCTCATTTCTTATGTAAATTCCTACATGATGTCTTTGATTTTGCCTATTAGCATGTGGAGCCTAGAATATTTACTATCTTGTCCTTTACTGAAAACACCTGCTGACTCCATTGCTGATGCAAAGG